ATATGGAGTGAATGAAGAGGATGAGGGGTGCTTGTATTTATAGATATCATCTGCCGACAATTCCCACGAAATTCCGAGGAAATTCCGAGGCAATAGCCGTTGGCGTCGGAATTTCCTCGGAATTTTTGAAATACCACAACGGCTAACTAACGGCTATAATTTCTCATCGGATTTTCCTGGGTTTATTTCGAGGGACATTACATCATCGGAATGTCATCGGAAAAATCCGAGGAAACTTTTGTTCCTCGGAATTTCCTAGGTATATTCCGAGGAAACACATAAATTGTGTTTCCTCGGAATTTTCTCGGAATATCATCGGAATATTCCGAGGAAACAAAGTTCCCTCGGAAATTCCCTCAGTATCGCTCTGTTTTCTTGTAGTGATGGTACTGAATCCTTTCCAAAAATTGTGTTTTTGATGGCCCATGAATTTTTATGATGCTACTGCGATTGTTTTGATGCGAGATCTTTCGAGATTAGGTCCGTCACTATAAAAAGATTATCCACAATATTTCTTTTACCAACGTTGAATTGGTCTAGTAGTAAATGAGTTGAAGACCGTCACTTGGTTTTAGTTTGTGTTGGGAAAAATTATTTAGAATGCTTGGGTTCTTAGTAAAAAAGTGAACCTATTTTTTTTAACCGAAAAAGAAAAAGAAAATGAAGAAGAAAAGTTATAGGAAATTTACGATATACTAGCTAGGCGCGTTAGTTCCTATTGTTCCATTCTCATGGCAGTGAAAACTAAATCTCTTTTGGTTGATCACGTGTTGACACCAAACTTGGCTATGATCCAGATGTTGACACCAAACTTGGCTATGAAAACTAAAACTCTTTTGGTACTCTTGTAACATATTTCTACCTATATGTTACAAGAATACCAAATCTCTTTTTGCTTATGACCAACCATTGAATGACGGAGATACATAAATATGATGATCATTTAGTGTTATGAGTCCAAATTAATGACTCGACGGTTGGGTCTTACAACTCCACCGGAAAAATATATGATGTTGATATTTTGAAGACGAGTAGTACAATCTCATACATTACCCACATATGAATTTGCATGCATGATATATATTTTAGAAAACTACCCAATGGATATGAACATATTTTTATATTGTTATATATTCTATTAGCTGTTTGTAAACATTTTTTAAAAATGAATGTAAAATTATATCAAAAATTGTTTATCATGAACAAAAGAATGTTATAGAATAGCCTTTTGATAATAAAAGAAAAATGAACAAAAGAATGTAAAAAATCTTATAAGAGTAAATATGATGTTTGTGTGTAAATAAGTTTATAAGTTGATCAACAGAAACAGATTAAACATTTATATGCTTATGGCTTTCTGGAAGACGGAATTTCGTATCTCTTGTAGTTAATATTCGTTCTTCAAATATTTTATTATAGTAATATTTGTAATCACTTTGATCGGAGGAAACCCGCTTTCAGACGTGCAGAGACATTATTACTAGTAATTGTCAATAATAAGTTTTTTTGTCAACTTATTAAAAACAAGTTTTCTTCTTTTTTTTTTGTCAGTTTGTTAATGACAAGATTTTTTGTCAACTTGTTAATTACAAGTTGATAGAAAAATGTGAAATATGTGGAAACTTTTACTATATAAACCCTCTCGTAGCGATGAGAGTAAGTCACAACAAACAAACATAATCCAGAGTAAAAGACACTAGACGCAAAAAATATGGAAAACGAGAGTTGCGGTAAGTGGAACTTCAGCGGCAACAATGCGGCCAGGGAAGCCTCAGCAGAACACCTCGGCTTTTACAGCTCTCAAATCATTGCTCAGTGCAAACCTGACGGGAAGAAAATTTTACCTCCTCAAGGTGAAACCCCTCTGGCTCACAAAGAGGCTGAAGAAGCGGTTGTTCAAGCCGTCAGGAACGGCAGAGGAAACGCTTATGCACCTAGTATAGGCCTTCCAGCGGCCAAAGAGTAAAATATTTTATAATATACATAGATAGAGCAATAGAAGTATCGTTTATAATCTTTGGCCTTTTTTTGTTTGTTTGTTTGAAAATAATAAAATGTCCCAATTTATGCCGTGATCTTCCGGAGGAACAGAAAGTGAAAGCAGATAACGTGTTTATGACCGTTGGGTGCAAACAAGCCATCGAGCTTGCGGTTGACCTCTTGGCTAGACCAAAAGCCAACATCCTGCTTCCGAGCCCTGGCTGGCCATGGGATCTAGCTCGATCCATCTACAAGAAACTTGAGGTCCGCAGATATACGTTCCTCCCGAACAATGAGATCGACTTTGAAAGCGTCCGTAAGCACGCGGATAAGAAAACGTTTGCAATATTTATAATCAACCCTCACAATCCCAATGGAAACGTCTACTCCAAAGCTCATCTCAGCGATGTATTTTACATATTGTTTAATTAACAGTATTCAGATATGGTCTACTCTTTTTGATTATGCCTATATTAATGAATCATAGCTCGCTATTTTGGCCAATGAACTCGGGATAATGGTGGCTTCTGACGAAGTTTATCGATGGACTGTGTTTGGGAAGAATCCCTTTGTTCCCATGGCGACTTTCTCGAATATTGTACCTGTGATGACACTTGGGTCCATATCGAAGGGATGGTGTCTCCCCGGATGGCGAACTGGCTGGCTGGCCCTGCACGATCTAGATGGTGTCTTTGAATCCACCAAGGTATGGTCCATTCTGTTCGATCTCAAACTTTAAGAATATACATGATATGTAACATTATTATATATATATATATATATATATATATATATACTATGATTGATATGACGAGTTCAAAATACTTCTTATTATTTTTCTTGTCCTAATCTTGTTATATATGAACAGGTCGTGAGTGCTGCTAGAGAATTTCTTGGGATAACTTCTAAACCACCAACTGTTATCCAGGTACATGACTTTCTAGTTTGAACAGTACTTCTTGTAACCAGATATAATAAAAAAATATGTTATGGACCTTTCAACTTATTACTAAATTTTATTTTATTTATATTTGGCGAATCTGTCGATTTTATCATGCAGGAGGCTATTCCTACCATCTTGGAGAAGACTCCTAAAGAATTCTTCGAAAAAAGGCAGAGCACTCTGCGAGCAAACGTGGATGAGGCTTATTCTCGCCTTGAGGACATACCTTACCTTACATGCCCTGTGAAACCTGAAGCATGCACCTTCCTATGGGTATTATATTTTTATCACATTTCCTTAATACTTAACTATATACCTTTTTATTATTATTATCATCATCATGATCTTGAAACCATTTTGTAAGTTTCTGAATCTTTTTTTTTTTTTGCAGACCAAACTGAATTTTGAAATGTTTGAAGACATTGGAGATGATGTAGAATTCTGTGTAAAGCTTGCTCAAGAAGAAAACCTTGTCGTTTTGCCAGGTATTAATCAACATTCCCATGAATTACCTACGATCAACGTTTAATGGCTTAGCATTGAAGACACAGTATAAACTCGATCTAATTTTATTAAGAATCCACATCTAAGACATATCTTAGTTTATTAGGAATCCCTTCTAAAGGTTGAGAACGGAAGTATATGAAACCTATTATTGCATTTAAGCTCATATTATATCACTCAACTCGAACCGGAATTGATCAGATCTTAAATTTGTATGATTGATCTGGTTCTGTCCGTGATTGACTTGACCGATACCTACTGAAATCAATAGTATCATTGATGAGATTTTGCAGATAGTGACGTGTTACGAGCCCCACACATAGGTCAAAAAATTCGTTGGAATTCTATCAATTTTAACAATTTGTAACATAGTAACATATATGTTGTGTTCGATTGGTTCTAGGAACTGCTTTTGGTCTAAGTGGCTGGGCAAGGCATTCTATCGACATGGTTCCTCTAACTTTGGACATTGCCTTTGATAGACTGATGAGTTTCTGTGACAACCATAAGACTTCTTCATTAAAAACGGCCAGTTCCACTACAGAGGGAGCTTAATTCGCTCATCTAAGACGTCAAGTAAATGGGTCAAATATGTATCTTGGCTTGACTGTTTCTTTTTAAAAATATATGCTAAAAAATGGTTGCTCTGTTGATTTGAGAGAAATCCCGAGCACTCTCGTATTTTGTAACAAATAAAGTTGGTGTACTTATCACCAATCGTGTGATTGTTTCTTTTGGTCTGTCGACATTTTGATGTATTTCTACTTTTTTGGATAAAGTGAAGAAATTGAAATTTCTTTCCACGTCTAAATAATATGGATTTTGGTTTGAAAATTTCGTTATGGTACATTATATATTATTCTCTTAACTATTTCAAAATACATAGGTAATGTCGGATATTGCTCACAAGCCTAAGCATGTTCACTCAAATCGGACTGAACCACTAGACTAGTGCCAAAACTTTTAGCGTACATTATTTTATAAGATTCAGTGCATGTATCTAGACTAGATCTAGTATATGCGTATGATATTCTCGCTTGCTTCTAATCTATTAAATTAAAATTTTATTTTATCAGCTGATAGAAAATTGTTGTTTAAATTTCAGTTATACTAAAATTGTTTTATATCATATATTATAAAATAGTGATAATAACATGATTACAGTTTGTTAAAAAAAAAACAACAACAACAACATGATTACAGTAAATGAACATCGGAAGTGATTGGTCAAGCTTTAACTATACAAATATTATTGTAAAAATTTAAGCTATAGAGGTTTTTAATGTATCTGTAGAAATTAAATAAAAATAAAATAAAAAGGTTCTTCCTACAATAATATTTTATTTGCTTTAAAAAACGCTCTTACATCCTTTTTTTTTTTAATTTTGACTTTAGCTTTAAAAACTACATAAAGTATGATTGGTAGTTTACATGGTTGTAGAAAGATTTTGAAGATAAAGTCAATAGATATAGCCCAACCAATAACTTTGATCGTTGTCAAAAAGGAACAGTAACTGTAACTGAAATTAAAACATAATCAATTGAGTTGTATGTATACAACGATCTAGGTTTCTTATGGTTTCACGATTTTGGGAGCCTGAGATTTTTGAGGTGGTTTCGATTGAGAGGGAGGGTGATCAAACAGAGAATCAAAGGAACAAGACATGGAGATCCTCTACAGATTTTCGTGATTCTGTTTCAGGAATAAGGTTTTGAATGGGAATCTTAAGGAATCAGGGGTGCATGAGGATCGGATTTCTAGGATGGTTGAAATCAAGACCGAATCTCAGAAGTACATGGGTATCACTTCCGCTAATCTTCAGGCCAGATCTGATTGTTTGGGAAAGAGGAACGGAAGAACCAGCTACAACTATAATATCATTAGATATACGACAATATTGTGTATTCTTTGAATCTCTACATAACTGATAGTATTCTAAATTGGAGAATTGCTTTGGAAATTGGGATCGATGGTTTCAATTATGGAACATTTGGGGATGAAAGCAGTTTATTACAGCGTCGAAAAATAGGGCTTACAATTCTATATAAAAGGAGGCAGGGGCTCTCTCTTCGGAGGCACACCCTTCAGGATCATTACGGGGTTTTTTACTTTCAAGATCGAAGCTCCTTTTTGAATTTGATCACCATGACTCAGAGTATGTTGCTTGGTAACGTTGGGGACAGTAAGGATGGTGAAAGTAATCGTAAGAGATTGACGATATCAATGCCTCATTTCGACAACTCAGCTCTCATCAAGACCTACTCCAAGACATTGATTGGAAGGTGCATGAATCCGCCAGAGCAAGATATGAAGGCTCTCATCATGAACCTACCTAAGATATGGAAACTCGAAGATCGGGTTGTGGGTGTTGATCTGGGACGTGGTATGTTCCAATTCGATTTTGAAACGGAGGAGGACATTGAATCCGTTCTGAAGCTCGTTTCACTTCGACTATTGGATGATTTCTTTCCACGATGAAAACTAAGGAGATCACAAAGCTTCCCATCAAAAATACCCTTTTGGGTCCGCGTGATCTGGGTCCCGCTGGAGTTCAGGATTTTACCGACGTTCGAAAGCATTGGAGAAGCCATTAGACAAACGGTGGCAGTGGATTTGGAACATAGAAGGGTATAAGTGGTAGTTGATGCCTTTAAGGAGCTGTATTTTGAAACGTCTGTGGACTTTACTGGTGGAGAATTCTACGATGGGGAAGAGGTTCCAGTTTCGTTGCGATATGAGAAGCTATTTGGTTACTGCCCCATTTGTTCTAGCTTGTGTCACAAAGAAGAACTATGCCCCAACAGTAAGAAGAATCCTCAGGTGAACAATGAGTTAAGGCGCGACCAAATGGATGTAACTAGTGGCAGAGCTGATGGTGGGAAGCATGACGATCGAGCCAGAAGCTACAAAGGGGTTGTCCTCAATGGTAATGGGAGTCAACACAACAAGGAAAGAGATGGTAGAAACTATTCTGGGAAGGACAAAGGTAAAATGTTCGAGGAGGAGGATTCAAAATGGGTTAAGATGGCTGACATAAGAAATAAGAGATCATTTTCTCATCGGGAAACTCTAAGGGAGAAAGTGAGGGTTCCAGGTCCACGTATTCACGTCGGGAAGACACAAGGTCAGATGTTAGGAATGCGAGGTATCAGAGGATAGAAACTATTCCTCAGAGAGATGCTCGAGAGGAGACTAGAGAAGATGGAGAAATCCCGAATGATGTGGAGTTAGCACTACCATCTCAAGAGTTCTAAGCTGAGCTTTCGAACACTCAAGCACCTGGAATATAGGTATAACGGATCCTGTGGCTGAGAGGAATGGATTACAAATGATTAAGAAGTTGGTGAAGGAACATGATTCTTTGAAAGAAGATGATGTGATGGAGATGTACGAAATTAATGTGTGTCTGCTCGAGCATGGGATTGACATGGATGCAATGGAGGATTCTCAGGGTTTTCAAGAGGAAGAAGCAGAGGAAGGAAACAAGAATCTGGAAATTGGGATTGATGGGGTAGAAAATAAAGAACACGGTGGTGCGACAGTGGAGACAGGCCAAGATACAGGGGATAACTTGATGGATCAGGGTGCTCAGAAAAGGCTTTATAAGGCTTCCATTACCACGGCTGGAATACCAAGATGAGGATCACAATGGCCCTTCTCTCTCCACCCAAAAAAGCTGCAAGTAAAGCCGGTAGTCGACATGGAGATGGCATCAAGCAAGCTGAAGGTAAGGGTACCTCACACCCGAAACATGGTTGCCAGAAAGCTTAATTAGTTTTAATGGTTCAAGTTTTATTAAAAGAGGGACTAAAAACCGGGTGATACTTTTGGGCTTTGGCTGTCTTAATCTTTCAATAAGCTCTATGAGCATTTCTGTTTTGGTTTTTTACACGATCTCTATGGATTTAGGAGTTTTGTTTTGTTTTGTTGTTTGGAAAAGCTTCCTTATAAGGTTAAGCAATGGAATAATAATGGTAGCAGTTTTTGTTGTTGGTAAGAGTCACATATAATATTGATGGTGTTACATAGAAATTTTTTATATGACCGGTGCTGAGGAAGACTGAGAATATGTATTATATTTGTCGAGTGCTTGTCATTATAAATAATGATTGTGAAGGTAAGTGGTGGAAAGAGGAACAAGGTAGTGTTTATTTTGGTATAACATGTAAGGCACATGGGATTTGTGTATCCGAAAACAAAATTTATTATCAAGTATGGAATTTTCTAATGGCTTATGGGTGGATATCAGTACATGTTATGAGACTCCAACATACTAATAGTGTCTGCACGAGCTGAGTTTTTTCATGGAGAGGACAGATGTGTCCTCTGCTTCTATGCACCACTGGTAAACTAGCTGAGTCTTTTTTTTCTGTTGCTGGCTCAGTCATTTTATGAACTTAAAGGACTGAATAAACATGGATACGCTGGTGATAGGTACCAGTGTTTATGGATTTTGTGGAGAAAAGCATTTTTAGAGTTCATCTTAAGCATTAAAGTATTGGTTAAAGAATGGTGGCCTCATGAAATGGTTGGGATATTCTTTTATTGGTACATATGGTTAAGATATGGTAACGAACTGATGAAGGGACATATAACGCTCGAGGTCTTGTGTTTGGTCTCATTAAACCAGACACGAAGATAACTCCAGACGTGAACTAATTAGTATAAAAATAATTCATACATATATTAAGAAATAAATTCAAAACTAATTTTTGGGTATTCCCAGATTAATCATAGATTTCTACTGATTTATAGTTATATGCAACTATTGGTTCGAATAAAGCGCTTAAATGTTAATATTAAAAAATTATAATAGATTATTTCACTCTAAAAAATAACTAGAGAGTTACGATAATCAAAATAAACATGTGTACAATTACATGTGTATACCATTTATTGTTAAAACAATGTACTATGTACACATAACATATGTACATGTGTACGATTATATATGTACATGTGTACATCCTCACATGTGTACATTCTTTATTGTTAAAACAATGTATTATGTACACATATATATATATATATATGTATATGTGTCATTTTCACATGTGTACACTCATTACATTTGCAATTTTTATTGTCCATATATACATATGATGAATTTGTTACATATACACTCGTCAAATATAAACATTATCTACACATATATTTCATTGTCCACGGATACAACAATTTCATAGAAAACCACATATACGAACGCCCATTCATATACATTACACAAGATATAGTATCTCATTTGAGTTCATTTGTAGTTGTTCACCGGTTCATTTGAGTATCTTGTCTGACTTCATTTAGATCATTTTAGGTTTCATTTAATTCCTTAGTTGTTTGTTTGTTTGTTCATTCATTGCATATACATATCCCAAGAGATAAAAATGTAAATTGTAAATGTAAGAGTTAATAAGGAAATGATGTAAAAGCTGAGGTATCGCACGTTCAAAAACGCTAAAGTTCTCTATCAAAACAAGGACTAAATTGCATATTAGAAGTCTAGGGTCAATTAAATTTAAACTAATATTATAATTTCTTGTTGTGTGTTATATATCTA